TAACGCTGTGCGGCTTGTTGCTTTGTAGCTTAGCAACAGCAACAACAACAACAACAGCAACAATCAGCAAACCCACAAAGTCGATCTCGCTGCAGTCGAGGTTGTTCATTCCCTTTTTTTTTGCGGCTGCCCAAAGTTTGCACTACAAAAGTACGATTACAACTTTGAGTATCCGTAACGAGCGGCCAGACGCTAGGCATATATTTTCGTCAAGCTCTTTGCCTTTGCCAAGAGATGTCTGTTTTAGGAAATTTGCCTATCTGGCAGCCACAAGGGAAACTTTTCATGAAAGTCTAATGCAAGCGCGGAAGTTTTCGAGTTTTGAGTGATCTTGTTAAAAACACTTTGATCATAATCCAAAGTAGCCTTAAAAAATTGTTTCGCTTACAGAAATAATGGAAAAGCAATCAGGAAGAATACAATGACGCTGAAGCTTTTGACTTAAGATCTAATGTAATGCAATCCTAATGCAATTTTTGTAATTTTAATTAATTTATAATTGTTATATGTACTATTTGTGATGACATTAATTGGCGAGCTGTGAACTTTTGTCATTAAATTGTTTCGAATAGAGATCTGGGCTGTTCTTTAAGCACAATTTCATTTCGGCCACGCCTACTCCCGTCAAATCATATTTATCTACCACAGATAAAGTCACACAGATCAAAAGTCACAGATTTAGATATTCAGTTTCCTCTTTAAGTTGAAAAAGGTTTACTTAATTATTTGTAATCTTTATTTTTACCTTTAAATTCCAAACACAAAAGCTAAGATTATTTGAGAATATTATTTTTGGGCTTGGGTTTATTCATGATGCATGCTGCTGAAGCTAACATGTTATCCTTGGGACGATTTCAGAGTCTCTTGGGCATCTACTGATGACATTGTTGGTTAACCAAAGACCGATGTTTAACTCGGTTTAAATAAAGATGTTTCCATGCGTTTTTACGTCTTGAATATATAGTAAAATTCATTATCAAATCTGTACATTCATGCTTTATAATCTTTGAATAACAAACTCAAAATGCTTAAAAATTTGTAGCTCGAATTTTAAAAACATTTTCCCGATAAAAGTAAAAAGTATGATGTTAAGAGGGATGACTTATTATAAAAACATATTTAAACACATTATTACTAAAATATTAAATAGATTAACTTTAACTTGAAATGTGTTGTTAATACCAGAGATATACCTTCAAATAGCGCGCTACTCTCTTTCATATTTCTGTCTACATAATTTTGAATTAAAAAAAAACATACATATATATTAATCTGTTGCCTTCATTGGAACGTATTCTCTTGACTGGTGTTCACATACGTGATTGTCTGCGGCATTTTATGCTGATCCGTTAAGCTCGAGCGAACAATTGATAAAATCTGACATAATCATAACATTGATCATCGCTGACCGAATGAAATGTGTAATTAGCCAAATAATGGGCAAACAATGAGACTCTGGGGCCGTTGCCTAGGCCCACAAAGAAATAAAGAGCCTTGGCATTGTGACGGCCAGAAGACCAAAATCAAAACAAACAAACAGCCTGCACTGAAATCAAGTAAATGTGCTGTGTATTGTGACGGCTTGTGCCTGTATCTGTGCCATTGTGTGTGCAGTGCATAATGGTGCGTAATAAACATGCACAGCAAATCAAGTCCGACACACACACAAACACACACACACGCACATCGATGGAAATCATTATGCGCGCGTCGAGGCGGCGGCCAACGCTTCGTATGCGTAACCATCAAAAAAAACGACGCCCACTCGGCACACATCCACGACGCTGTCGCTGTCGATGTCGCTGCTAATGCGTTAATTGTCAGTTAGCGTGGTTAAATGGCTTGTGGATTTATGTGCGTAGCAGCCAACCAAAAATCTCTTGGATTGGGATATATCAGCGTGGGTGTCACACACACACACACATTGCTTCTAAGGCGACGCGCTTTCATTATATACATGGACATAATTCCAACCTGTATTAGCATTTCACATTTAAGTTGCCAAACGACCGCACAAAAGTTCAAAGGCTAATTTTCACTTCGACAAGTTCGTTGCCTAAGTCATTTGATTAGATGTGCGCCTTTTTGGCCTGTCTATCTTTCTTTTTTGAAATAATTTGCATTTGCCAAATTAGCTATGTGAAATTTAGAGCGCTGCCCGGAAGTAGCTTAGAGCGAACCTTTTACTTTCGTGTACTCTCTTTTTTGGAAAGATATAATACTCGTTTCATGAGGTTTGACTCTTGCTGCCGTTGCGATTAAAGACATTTCGGTAGGCCATCAAATGAGTTCGAGTCTGTCTGGAAATGAGTATATTATCTTCCACTACTTTCTCGGCCCCACTTTATACGTAATTTGTATATCATGTACTCATTGAAAATGCGTTACAGAGGGTATATTGTCTTTGTGCAAATGTATGCAAAAGGCAGAGGGAGGCGTCACTGACCCGATAAAGTATATATATATCTAGCCATCTTAGACTATGTGTCCGCCTATAGGATTGCATATAGTCGTACTGAATACGCAAAACAATATATAGTATATAGGACAAAATACTGCACTTGAATTCATATATAAGTATGTATATCCTTGCGCTTAGTTAGTTACAATCATTAGGTTGTCATATTAAAGCCTTGAAAATTGCATACTGATCCGACAATAATTCTGAAGCTATCCCAAAATAATCTTCCCTTTGTGTGGGGCAAAGGAAAGAAGCACAGCTGATTGAAGGGTATCTCATAGCTAAGCACTGTTACTCTATTGCAGTGGTAGAGTAGTTGACTTGCCTGCTTGTGCGTCAAATGATTCTCTTAACGACACCCACACTGTCTGTCTGTCTGTTAGAAAGCTACTTTTTAAGTAGCTGTCCATTTTCTTTTTGACCCACAATCTTACATCTAATTGCTGCAAGCGTATTTGCCTATTTCTCTCCATAAGCCGTTAATGAGGCGCAATTTATAAAAATAATATGCAAAACACTTGTAGAAAGGCAACAAATTGTATGGCGCCAATTTAGCTAAAAAGCCCCTGGGCCAGTCGGACACTCGAAAGTATTTTAGCTTCCAGTGTGCCGCAGTAACTCAGGCGTGTGAAGTGCGATTTACATAACCGCCCAACGGCAGAGCCCACATTGGAATTGCACAAGCGATTTACAGATGGCAGATCGTATCTGTGGGCAGCGATCTGCATAATGTCTTGTACCCATTTGTAATTAAAAATTTACGATGTTGTTAATAAAAAAAATTGACGCCAAATGCGAGACAGCGAATGCAATTTACAATTCACGGCTTACAATTCATACCTTACTTAACGTTGGCTAATTAAAATCGCGGCAGGCCGCAGCAGAACAAATTCAGCCAAAATGGGCACAATTGTCAACTAACAAAGGAAATTGGTCCAGTGGCATGCAAAGTTGCTTCAAGAGCATTTACAAAAAAAATGAAAAAAAAAACAACAACACGAGACAAACAAAAAATTGAAATAATACAAAAATAAAACAAAAGTTTGGTGCTGTAAACGAGTCTTGGCCACGATAAGTGGCCACCGGACACCAACGGTTCATAAATATGGCCAAACACTTGGCCAATGGCTGCAACGGTGACAAAAGCAGCAAAATACTATGGACAACAAGTGCCTTGATTCTTGGCAGTTGGCAGCTGGATTAGAAATACAGAAATACACAAATACGTGAGCCATTTGGTGTGGGGGTCGCTCTTGTTGCTTTGAACTTATTTCCACAAGGTCGTTAGCCAAGACATGTCAGCCAGCCCGTTAACCAACAACAAATTAAGCCATAAATGCTTGTTGCACATGAAATTGCTTTTTATTTGGCTTTTTGCTGCTGCTGCGTTTGCGTGTCAACACGTTTCGCGGTCAACAGTAAGACACCCAACTGCCACGCCCCACTCCTCAAGTGCCAGACAGCTCAGTGGTTTGATTAATTGTCAGCCAAGTTGTGAAAATTGCCTAAAATTTTCCTTTAAATTCAAATTTACACAATCTTCCTTATGCCTAATTTCTTAGTAAGACTTAAAGACTTTAACAAATAACTTTGTCAATTGCGAGGTAAAAATATATATTTATATAAATTTGTTGAGTTCTCTTCTGTACAAAAGATCAAATATATTTGGAAACTTAACAGGGTTAAATAAAAAATTGTATCAATTCTATTTAACTATTGCAATAGCTTTTGACTTTTCAATTCTTCTTTGTGTCATATCCTTAAAGATTTCACGCATGCACACATGTCTTTCACTGTGTCTTCCACGCTCTTAGATGGATCTTGATTTTGCTTTCTTTTTATCTTGTCAGCAATTTTGGGAATTCCACCCGCAACTGTGGAAAATTGGCGTGAAACGATTGCATGATACTTTTTTGTTTACCATCTAATCCAATGATTTGAACTTTTGGTTCTTCATTAGATCGAGTGCAAACCCTTTTTCCAAATATCTATGTAAAATGTGTTATGATATTTGCAGAACTTGGCTCGGACTAAATCGGGTAATACTCTCTTTTATAAACAGTTTGTACTTTGTTTCAATTTCTTTTGGTTATAAAGGTGTGCATAGTCTCTTTTATGGTCTTTTTACGGTTTGCTCATAGCCTATTACTAAAAGTTTTACGGCCTTTAAGCGTAATGCTATTATATTCAATTTTATATTTTGACTTCGTTTCAATTTGTTAACCACATCTTCCGCTCCTGGCCGATTGTTCAGTTAACCCCCAGCTGATTTATGGCCTTTGCGGCTAGTTCGCTGCTTTCATCGCATGTGGGCAACTATTTGGCCAGTGGCTATTTGGTCACTTTGCAGTGACTTTGATTTTGGCACTTGGCTTAGTTTTATGGCATGTTTTTCGTACATATATATTATGGCTGTATGGCCAGTTATGAAAATGATTTATGCTTGTAATTTGATAGAGCGCCGCGGACAAGTTTTGTGTCTCAGATTTGGCGGCCTGGTCCACGATACGCGATACGCAGTCAATGCCAAATGCTGATGTCAAGTGTCAGATTACATTTATTTCAATATTTATTACAGAATTAATGGGCAGGCGCAGCGGCAATTAATTTAATTAGTCGCACATTTGATTTCTCAGCTCCCAGTGAACAAATTTTGCCAGCTGAAAGCTTAAAGATCATGCTAATTCCAATGAAACACATTCCCCCTGGGCCTTGCACAGAAATTTGGCAACCAGCATCTAAGCCAAGTTGCCTTGAGTCGAAAAGTTGCAAAAAACTATCCGAATGTCGATGTCAAAGGATTGCAACAAGAACAGAGCGCAACTGAAACCAGATCAGCAGCCAGTTGGCCAAATGTCAAAAGCTTAAGCTTTAGCTGAAGCCACGGCGGCGCAGTTTTCATGGTCAGGCTCAGAGAACAGCACGGCACACACGGCGCATGAGTGACGTGCATGTTGAGGCGTCACATTTGCTGACCGAGTGCATAAATCAAAACCCCGCTGCCGCATATCCCACGCAGTTAACAGCACTCCGAGCACGCCGAGCTCTGGCTTCATCTCTCCCTCTCCAAGAGTGGCTCTTAATCTCTGTCCATGTCTCTGACTCTGTCTCTATCGGCTGCCGGTTGTCTCCTTCTTTTGCTGCTGGCGCATTTAATTATTATACAGCTGCCTGGCCAGCAAACAGAATAACAGACCAGCATTTTTTTATGTTTTATAAAAAATTGCTTTACATTTAGTTCGGCCAAAGCCGCGGCTTGGCTACTCTTGAGCTTGCCGTTGATATTTGGAATGTTCGGAATGCGACCGTAAAAATTGATTTCGTTGTTAATTGAATGTCGGTGGTTAGCAAATCAAATTAAGCTAATATCCCGCGTCGTTTAACTCGCTGTCAATTACAATTTTATCGATAAACTAACTCTCTTCCTTTGTTCTCTTGCAGCATGACAAGCATGAAATTGGCGAGGTTTTCCAAGATGAGCAAAATATGGCAGCGATTTTGATGCGTCGCCACATGGAAACGGGCGACCTGATAATGGTAAGTGTCCAATTCGCAGAAGGTCAACACAATCAATAAAGGTGCAACAAGAATTTCAATTAGCACGCCCCTGGCGCTGCGCTCTTAAGATTTTTATGGCTTCATGGGTTGTTATGACGGGCGGACTATTGTTATGGTCAAACTTGGACATTACATTGGCTTTGTGCTGGCCACCAAAATGCGGTTGGCTTTTCTGTATGTGTGTGTGTGTGTGTGTATGGCTGTGGGCTGCACTTGGGGCAGTTACAATTAAACGCCTGCCACTTGCGAATAATTTGCGGATTTAGACAATTTCTGCTGATTAAGCATTAATTTATATCGCAATATTGCGCTACGCTCGGGCACCAAACGGCCAGCCGTAATGTGAATTGCATGTCGATCGACATTAGACATTGTCAAACGGCCAGCTGCAATAACAACAAAAGCAACAACAACAAAAGCAACAATAGCAACAACAACTAAAAGAAACACTCACGAGTTGTCGTCACAACCAAATCGAGCACCTTGACCAATTTGCTAAAGTGAAAACTCAGATTACGTATGGGCGATATGCTTTGAAATATGTCTGATAATTGAAACTACAAATGCAAAGATATATTTAGAAAAAATGTCAGACTTTTAAAATTAAGAGAACTATGTGGAGCTTGCCCCAGAAGCAACGAAAAGGAATAGCAAACTTTATTTATATATGTTTGTCATGCCGTTTAAAATTCAGGAAATGGTTGCCTTCTACTGCTTGGACATAAAATATCCATCAAATATTTGTGTTCAATTATGCAACTACATACAACATACATAATTAATGCAACAAAGCCTCAAAATGTTCTTTTCGTTCGCTTCCTCACATAAACGCCAACTCGTTGAAGGTCAATCTTGCCGTCGTCGCTTATTTTATTAACAACTTTAGTATTTTGCAGATAATAAGTTGCTGATAAATTGCCTCAGCTTTTAATTATAACACAATTGGCAATTAACATTTAACCTGCGGCGGAAATTAAGCTCAACACACTTGGGTGTAAAGCCTCTAGGTGCAAATATTTGTTGTGTGAACATAAATAAGTGCAACAACCGAACAACCACCTTAAAAAATCTGCAAAAAGGAAGTAAATCGTATTTAATTTGGGAAATTCTAGCGCATATAATTCTGATAACAATACTCAAGCTAATGACAAGTTCCCAACATGTTCAAAGACTTAAAACCTTTTAATTGTTAGAGCACAATGTTGAGATATGCATGAAGACCGTAGCAAATGTCACAAAGCCAAAATTTAATAATCAATAATAGACAAAGCTAATAAAACATTCATGGTAATAGGGTCAATCGAACCAATCAACCGTCAGCGTCAAATGGCCAATAAACAAGGCTTCAACTGTGCCGGCTGCTTCTTTACAAAAAAGATATTTATATATATGTGTATATATTTTTTGGCAATTAACTGACGTGTGTTTATTTTTAATTTGTTAAACAAAAGTTGAAAATGTATTTTTGATAATAATTACACAGACAAGTTGGCCAAGCAGTCAGGCAATAAAAGGTCAAACTGCAATGTCTGGGCCCGGCTTGGCCGACTTGGCCGTCTTGACCGACTTGTTATGGCCAAGTGCGAATCGCCAGGCCACAAGCCGCATAGAAAAATTGAAAAAGATTTAACAATTCATAAATAATATGTGGAAAATGTTTGCTCGCTGACATTTTGAAGTGCAAAGCGGCGAAAATTTCGCAAGAATGATGCAGCTGCTCGGCCAGGCATTCGCCCGGTTCGCCGATTGGCCGGCCGGCTGCCCGCCTGCCTGTCTTCCGGCTTAGCTTTGACCTTAAACGGCTGAGAAATATCAAGAAGCCAACCTGTAATTAACAAAACAAAAAAAAACCGACAGAAGATGTCTACGGCAGCAACAATTGCGCAATCTTTCGATTGGTCAAATGAAGTTGACGCTGTGAAGACTCTCGATTATTTTATGGACACTTAATTAGTCCCATCGAATAGTTGATACCATAAAATGTGCGTACGACTGTGGCCACAGTCTCAATTATTGACTGCAGTGTGTTTAATGAAATATTTCAGACATTTTGTTTTAACTAAAGATTGGCCAGCAGCCGCATTCTTGGCATGACACATCATACAGTGGGCTAAAAGCGAAACAATTTTCCGCATATAAATCTTTAAATTGCAAATTACAAAATTTAAAGTTTAATTTTTATTTAAGCTTTGCTTAGAATTGTATATTTTAGCTGATATTGCCATATCGTAACCACAGTGCAAACAGAAGACTTAAGGCACAAACTTGCTGGCAAGCATATTGCCCAACTTGGCGACAGAAATTGGTCACTCGCTATTGCTCTTGTTGTTGTTGTGGCTGCTGTTGTTGTTGTTGTTGCACTCTAGGCTTGTTTAATTATGGCCCAGTCGGAGGCACAGCACACAAATTGGCACAACTCTTGGCACGCACTATTTGTTGTTGTTGCTGCGGCTCAATTACATAAAAAGTTACAGAAACGTTGCCGCCGATAGCCCTGCCCCCAACCCTCTGGCATTTGAAGCTGTGGCGCGCAAAAAAGAAAAAAAAAAACGGCAAAAGCCATACCATTTCAAATGGGCAGCAGCTACAACCATTAAGTTACACCATGGGTGGGGCAGTTGAAAGGGAAACGGGTCAACGGAATCGCCCCAATTTGGCCAAGGCACCTTGCAAAGTAAACAAAATACGAAAAGCCAATCGTTTTAGAGTTTGTTGTAGTGTTGAAATACTATATACTATACAAAAGTAAAACTGAATGAATGTTTGTACATACAGAGGCAAGCTGAAAGAATATACTTAGGGAATTAAGGCAACATTTGCCAATTATAATGTAATAAGCTTCTACTCATTGTCATATGTAAACGCATTGGTTAAACAATTTGACATTGAATTTTTCGACATTCAAAATATTCGCTCGGCTGCCCCGCGTTCAACACATTAATCCCAGGCATATGAGATATCGTCTGACGAAAACAATATTCATGGCTAATTAGACGCACCCTCCGGCCTGAAGCCTTTTGGCCAATATCATTGGGCGTTTATTAAACAAATGTGTGTGGCAATTAGTTGCGCAAATATCCAAATTGATGACAATAAATTTGAAGCTTGGCGCCTGTTAATTGTTTAATACAATTACAAAGTGCATCGCACTGTGGCAAAGTGCGTTGAAATTTATCAAAAATGAAACGAGTTCAAGGACAGACGCACAACAAGACGTCAATCAACATCAACATCAACACTGCCCAACAAAGCGCAATCATAATTTTTCTGCTAGCCAGCCTTAAACGCTTACAGCCAACAAATGGCCTGTGCCATTTGCTGATAAATAAACCATTTTGGGGCCAACTACAAATATATACATATATAAAACCAAGCTTGATTAATGCTAATTGCGCCAAATGTCAGGCCAACAGTTGCCCGCCAGTTTTTGTTTAAGCAAATTGCTCAAAAGGTCGTGCAGCAGATGCAGCCTCTACTCTGCTCCAAGTTTGTTTAAATCTTATAAATCCGTTAGTCTGCTAATTAACAGCATCATAAACATATCAGACGGCATTTGATGATCTCAATTACCTTAAAATTCTCTTAAATGCTATATAGGCATAAACTAGATTTTATTATATTTATCCTGCTAAGCACGAAGTAGAATTGTGCCGTTCCATTGCAAAAAATGTTAATCATTTATGTATAACATTGATTTAGTTCACGATTCCTTAAGCCTAAAGCATACTGATCAAATATGACTCTGATTTTAGGCACTCTGCCCGCCTTTTTCTTTTTCTTAATAGACAGGAAAGTATCTATAGGAACTGCGAGTCGGTTCAGCACTTCAAAATGTGTATAATCTTTTATTATCAAGTTTTTGTTACAATTTTAGACATCACTTTTCCACCCATATTCCATCCAAAAGGAAATGACGAATGGCATATCTAACATAATACTAATCACATGAATAAGATTGAAGTTAATCAAATCAAAAATATAAAGATTTAATTAAAATTTTTTTGTCAATTTTCGCTCATGTTGTCGACTTTGCATTAGGTGAAACAAATAATACATATTTCATATTGCAGAGTGTTGAAATAAGTTTAATTCTGATTGGATTTTTCATTTAAAAACTTTCAAAAGTTTCTTTGATAATAAGTTTGAATCCGTTTGCATATTAAAAGTTTCTCCCAACCCTTTACCACGAATTTTCTACATATACGGGCGGAAATTTCCATAACAAGCTCTTAGTATGCAATTACTTCAAATGGAAAAGTCTTCATTGCTTCATTGCCGTTGCCACTTGCGTTGGCTGTGCGTTGATCAGTCAGTCAGGCAGTCAGTCAGTCAGTCAATCAGTCTGTCAGTCAATCAGTCAGCACACACAGTTTCCCTTTTATAGATAAGTTACTCATAAAACCAGAAATAAAGTTGTTCAGCTAATACACGAAGTACATGACATTTATTAATACATAACGCGATTTCTTAAATAACATTATGGAGCTCTTCCTTTTTTTTCGACTGGCATTCGAAGACTCCGCCTTTGCCTTTAGCGCGGCTTCATTGTGTTGCCCTTTGCAGTCACTTTGACATTTCGAGAGGCAACGTTAAAGATCAAAATGGATGTGCAGCGAATATTTATGCCATTTGATCAAATAACCACAAGCCCAACAGTAAATAGCAGCAAGAGAATCAACAACGAGCCCAATTATTAGGTAGCCGAGGCGACAGCACGTTGCCATTTTGGACACGGGTCTCGGCGTTTTGGGCAACTCTATTAGATACGCGCACATCAGCATCAGCAGCATCATCATTAAGAAGCCTCAAGTCTTTTGGCACCAAACTAGTTTTTAGTTGGCTTGCGAGCTTCTTCATCGTCACCTTCTTAACAAATTGTTTACTTGGTGCTTGCATGTTTCAGCCTTGATATTTACACAGAGTTGAACGTGTCTCTGCCTCTCAATTTCTAAGTGTATTTAAATATCGCGCATACCTATAGACAAACTGGCCACTGCTTTGATTTGCATCAGATGCGGCATCAACGTGTTAAATCTGTTAAATTTATGTTATTTGCTCTTTTGGGCTGCCGACAGGCGTCGCGTTCGTTGCCTAAGTCTTTCGATTTGACATTCACAGTGACTAGAAGCGTCTGCAATAAAATACATCGCCATTAATGCAACGACATTTACAACTTATTCGATTTTATAGCTGTATCGCTTAAAACATTCTACACTTTATTTTTATTACAAATTACTTAATTCTGTTAATTTTTCGAGACCCAGGGCAATTTGAACTGTGCAACAATATTTCGTTAGGTCAAATATTCAACTTTTTGAAAACATAAAAAAAGTTTTTATGAGAAAAACATTTTACTTTATGTTTCGTTTTATTTGTATTTGGCTTTAACGTTTATTATTCGATTTATATATCCCGAGAGTTAATGAAATATGAAATTTTCTCGATGGATAAATAGAACTAATTTTATTTATATAATCAAAATAGACACTCCATCATTTTTTTTTATATGTCTTTAGGGTTAGTTGTGGCAAATCGAATCAATAATTAAAACAGTTTGTTCTGGACTTTTGTTTATTTTAAATTTTGTAAAACAGTGTTATTTCGTTTTGCATCGCATG